TTGTATCTGCTATAGTTCCTGAGATCTCAGCGTTCATACGGACGGACGGACGGACAGACGGACATGGCTCAATCGACTTCGTTATTGATCCTGATCAAGAATATATATACTTTATAGGGTCGCAAAAGCTTCCTTCTATCTATTACATACTTTTCAACGAATCTAGTATACCCTTTTACTCTACGAGTAACGGGTATAAATGTAATGTAAAATGTGCAGTTATTTTAATGTATTTGTCGTCTTGTGAAGTGCGGAGTTGCCTTAAACGGCTCCCCACACGCTTAGGTCCAAAGAAAGGTGAACTTCAAAGGCCTATGGCTATGGCGAACGGAACGTTTTATTCCTCCTCTTCTTACGGCTGTGCGTCCTCCTACTATTCACAAAACAGTGAAAAGGCACTTTCTGGCGGCATTCACATAACCGCGATTAATAAGCCCGTACTTCAATGGGCCAAAAATCGGATAACTTAAAAAATTTTAAATTTCCTATTAATACTGACTTAACTATCGATATCAATGTTTTGACCGTCGACATCCCCGACCCCGTGAAGACCCGCTTCACTCAAATCTAAAACTGCAAGTTTAGAGACGGGCCGCAACATTGTCCAAGATAGTCCATTATCATTTACGCGCACAGTGGCGCGTCTGACGTCTCCATCAGCTCCGCTGTATACCTCCTCCACGATGCCCTTGCGCCACTCTCGTCTGGACAAGGCAGGATCGCAGACGAAGACCATATAGCCCTGGCGGATGGGCTCCGTTCTCCGGCACCACTTCTCGCGGCGCACAAGCGTACTCCATGACCCACCTCCTCCAGAGGCGGTCCCATTATAACCGGCATCGGCCGCGTCCGTTGTAGCTTGCATTCGTTGCACGACGAGATTACCTCCTTCAGCACTCGACTTATCTTCGTGACCCAGAATCTCGTCCGGATCTGGGCAATCGTCGCATCCACGTTTTGATGCTTCATCTGGGCGTGGTAGTGTCTTACTACCATCTCCGTAAGACTGTGCCTGTGTGACAGTATCACAGGCCTCAGGACCCAGGCGGTGGTCCTCACCAGGCGACTGAAGCTCGAGAATCTCTGGAACAGGATGACAAGTTCATTCGATGCTACCAATGCGAACTCACCGGGCATCTCCTCTTCATCAGGTGCATCTGGAACATGCTCGGTTACCCCCTCAGGCGTTGGCCAGCCGCTTGCTGGCTGCCTCAAAATTGCGGGACCGCTTAGCCACCGGGATTCCGGGCTAAGGTCCGCCTTGCTCTGCGACCGCGGCGCATCATCCGCTGCGTTGTCAGCTTTAGGTACCCATCTCCACTGGGAAACCTTCGACGACTCCAAAATCTCCGCCACTCGGTTGCCAACAAACTGCTTATACCGGCGGTGGGTGCTGCCGATCCATTTCAGCACCGTTTTTGAATCCGTCCATAAAACCGTATCGCTGATGTCCACACTGTGTTCTTCCTTGACAGTATTTATCACTCTGGTTCAAAGGACCGCTGCCTGCAGTTCCCGCCGTGGGTGGACATCGTTCTCATCGGCGCACACTTCGTCTTTGCGCACACGAAGCTAACCAGCACGTTGCCATTCTTGTACGTGACCCTCCAACAGGGCACCGCCACGAATGCAGATTGACTTGCGTCCACGAAAACGTGTAGCTCGATGGTCCACACTGCTCCACGCTCAAAATAGTGGCGAGGACATTGGAACTGTCCCACGGCGTCCATCTCTCTGCGCCAGGCAGCAAAGGCTCTGCCTATCTCCTCCGGCAGCGGTTCGTTCCACTGGATCTTCTGCCTCCAGATCTCCCGCAACAACAGCTTCGCTGTAATCATCAGGCAGCACAGGAACGCCAATGGGTCGAACGTTGACATCAGCAGACTCAAAAACTCCCTCTTTGTTGGGACTCGCTCTCCACTTAGGACGCTTTTTGGCACTCGATGACACTCCAAGTTGAATCTGAAGTCATCCGTTGCTACCTGCCAACGCATTCGAAACTATCCACGTACTCATCGACGTAATGGTGGTCGATGATGGCCTTGACTGCCCTCGGATCTGAATCCCGAAACTTCAGCGCATTCACCGTCTTGACGTAGTGCGCAGTGCTCGGCGAGCAGGCTGCTCCAAACGTCATTACGTTCATTTCGTATATATCCGGCTCTCGATCGTCGTTGCCATCTCTCCAGAGGAACCGTCGGGAACATCGATCCTCGGGTCGGATCAGCACTTGGTGGAACATCTCCTTGATGTCCCCGCAGACTCCGACTGCTCCTTCTCTGAAGTGGAAGAGCACAACTTTGGCTGCAGCATCAAACACAAGCCGGACCTTACCGGGCTTGTTTGGGTTTTCCACACCAAAATGTGGCAAATACCACAGCTTGTCGCTCTTCACCGCGACCTCATCTGGCTGCAGCTTCCTTGCATATCCTTTGGAAACGTAATCCTTGATGATACGGTCGTATTCCAGAGCCAACTGCCCGTTGCGCTTCAACTTCTTCTCGACGGTGATCAGCCATCTGTGCGCCATCTCGTAGCTCCGTGGCAGCACAGCGTGGTCGTCCTTCCAAAACAATCCCGTCTGGTAGAGACGCCCCACTTTCACCGTGGTGTCCTCGAGGATCCTTTGGGCCCGCGCGTCGTCGCTGGCTGCGACCGGTGGCGCGAGCTTTACACCAAAGCTTTCCATGTCGAAGTAGAAGCTAGAAGGCAGGACCTCGGTGACGGCGTAGTTGACTGTCCACTTACTGGCCCGAACACAACCCACCCAAGCTCGGTTGCGGCCGCATACGGTCCCTCTCTGGCAAACCGCCTCGTCCTAAGTGGCAATCCCAGATGACCATGGTCCAGTCCGATTAGCAACTTCGGCACCACGTAGTCGCGAATCCCTTTGCACGCAATGGACATCTCGTCGACTTAACGTTTGCATCGGCAGACTCAAGTTTGAAACGGCGTACACGTTCCTCAACGGGTGGCGAGTGGGCTTCCCAGCTCCACTTATCTCCAGACTCACCACGTTGGTAGGCTCCCTGCTGGCTCTTCCTCCAATCCTCTCGTGGCCCCGGTAACCACCTCGTGGCGAAGACCTCCTTCCCGGGCTGCGTCTGGAAACAGCTGACATCTGGTTTCCTCCGTTGTGGCGCCTGAAGCCACCTCGCTGTTCCGGCCTTCTTCGCCCTTCGTCCTCTCCATGTAGCAGACGGTGATGCAATCTGCGGCATCCGTTAATCTGGCACTCGCCATGCACATCGCAGGATCTGGTCGTATGCCCACTCCGTAAGCATGTGAAGCAGACCCGATGCCTCTTCACCATGCTTCACCTGCCCGGTGGCGAAGCTCCGATGAACTCCCTGCAGTTCGTCGTAGCATGTTGCCCTCCACAAATTTGACAACCTCTATGCCGGTCATCCCGCTGCTCGTATCCGTCCTGGTCGACGCTCGCGTGTAGAACTCGACGCCTCGGCTCCTTTCCCTCTACATCCAAAATCGTACACAATCGTGAAGTGCTCTACGCCGACTGCAAGAAGGCCGTGAGGTTATTCACTCTAGTTGCGAAGGGAACGATCCTCGCCAGGTTCTGCTCCGTAATCGGCGGCACCTCTCGCACGCTGTTCAGCTGGCTGCGTATAAGCTGCTCCGGTCGGCCAAACCTAAAGCGCAACTGCTCCATCACGGCTCTGACATTCGCAGGGTGAATCAGCAGCGACTTCACTGTCTCGCGTGCTTCATCTTTCAGTCCCTTCAACAGCCTCTGGTTGTTCTTCAGGTCCGTGCAGTTAGTTGTACGCTTGGGTCGTCTACACAAATGCACAATTAAAGATGGGCCAATCCTCGGGCTGCCCTCCAAATATAGGCAAGTCCGGGAGCCTCCTTGGCCCATTCGCTCCTTGGGTTCCAATCGGTGTCATCGAGGCGTAGGATCCCACGAATGGCGATGCAGTTGCCACGTTGTGGATGCTCCCGTCCGGTAGCACGAATCCATGCGCTGTCTGCGCAGCACTTGTAGCACACAGTGGGTTGCTAGTCGTTAGTAACGGTGGTCCACTCCAAGATGGCGGCAGCGTGTAGGCCGCAGTGCTCGCACCGACACCGCTATGTGGGACCGGCCCGACCCCGTTAGTTGGGGCCTCACCGTTCGATGTGGCTAATGGCGGTCCGCGCCAAGATGGCGGCCGACCCGACGCTCCACTGTTGGCGACATTTGCGCTTGGCCAACTGCGATTGGCGCGCAATTGGTGCTCGTTGTGTTCATGGCTCTAACCTGCTACAGCTCATTCTCCAACGCCGTGATCCTATCCAAAAGGTACGCCGTGGGTGGCTGGCCCACCTCCGGCTCTGAGCTCGCAGCTGCTGTTACAGTACTCCTTGGTTGGGACGCTACTGTAGTCGCTGTAGTGGCTGGGCGAGAAATGGCCGACGCCGTGGTTATGTTAACCCCTGGCCGGTTTTCTGCTGCACTACTCGCTGGCTGCTGCGTTTTTGTAGGGGTGGCTTCCCCTCCGTTCAGCCGGGAACTCCTGCTGGGGGAATGCTGCATCTCCAAATAAATATGGTCCAAATATGGCGCTGCCCTAGCGCTCCAAAATGGCGGACCTGTGCCGTCTGGCTGCTGCCGCTGATGCTCGGCGCTCCTTGCGCCTCCTGACCGCTGGTACTTGGCGCTCCTTGCGCTTCCTAACCTGAGCAAATTCAAAAATAAAACTGTTCATGATATTCATGTTCCACTTCTTTGGTATATTGTCCTAATCTTAAATTCTTAAATTAATTAATAAGAAGGATGCACTTTTTTCCAAACGAAAATAAATTTAATCTCTTCGGCGGTATGGGAAGATGATGTTGTTCATCTGTTGTATTATGAACCAAGATCAGTATCTGAAATTTCTTAAGGAAAATTTGAAGCAGAAGAAATTTGAACTCCATTCGTTTCAGGATGTACTTCATGGAATTTGGGTATCAGCCAAAAATCAAATTTTGGTTTCTTACATTCGAATTAAAAGCAATTAATAGAAACTACATACATATACATATATTAACATATGTATGTATATTAGGAATATAAATATTGGGAATATTTCTTTACCTTCCCTTTTCTGATCATCGGCATATTCTCAAAGTGCTTAAACGATTCTGGATCTAGAATCCTTCGGTACATACATATGTTCATATAAGCTTTCATTGGAGTGTACAAATGTATGAAAGTACATATGTACATACATATGTCGTATTGAGCTGTGAAATATTCCAATTGTGCATATAAAAATCGGTTGATATTCGTTTAACTCCTAACTCTAATATCGATATCTTGTCTCCAGTGCGCTCTAGTAAAACGATTTTAACAAATTATGAATATAGAATTGCCTTATATGGTGGAATATGCTAGAACTGGACGCGCGTCTTGCAATGGCTGCAAAGGCTATATTCCAAAAGATAACCTTCGTATAGCTGTTATGGTTCAAGTAAGTTTTTACGTGCAAATTTATGTACATACATACATTTATATGTTTTATAACCACCATATTGACATGCATGTTCACAGGCACTTATGTACATATACATATATACATACAAATGTATACAGAAGGGGACATTGACATATGTTTATTCATATTTACATATGTACATACACACAGATCTAAAAAGTTAGAACCAACCATTTTAGTTCTAAACCTATGTACATACAGTGCCGAACTAAATTTTTGGCACAGAAGGCTTCATGAACTTTAGGGCACGATTTCTCCCCTTAAAATTGAGATATTTAAATAAACCAAAATTTATACATATAATGTTATAAAAACATAACACGACAAAGTTTATTTCAACTTTTTACCTTCAATGGTTGATTTTTAAAAATTAAATAACATAAATAAGAGGTGAATTTGCCTGAACAAAATTTTTGGCACACTTATTGAAAAACTTAAAAATAAATGAAAATAACTAAAATTAATACTTTGTGGGTAAGCCATTTTGTTTTATAAAGGCTTCCAACCGTCTTGGCATCGAAGAAACGAAATTTTGGGTTGTTTCTGCCCCAATATTCTGCACCTTTTCTATTAGAGCCACCTTCAGCCTGGAATTTGTTTTTATCGCGCGTTTTTTAACGCACCTGTCCAGCTCCTTCGCACAAATCTTCAATGGGATTGAGGAGGATGCGGCAGAGTATGTTGGACGTTATGTGCGACCCACATACGCACATCATAAGCCGTTTAAGGGAGCTTCTTCTTTGGAAAGCGCAAAACACACCGGACGACCCAAGGCTTTGACCGCCCGGGAACAGGCCCACATTATGAAAATGGTGAAGGTGGACCCAAAAATTTCTTCAACTCAGATCGCAGCAGAAGTTAAAAAAAAGTTTGGAAAAGAAATTCATCCAATAACGGTGCAAGGGACCCTTCATCAGGCAAATTATAATAACCGAGTGGCTAGAAGAAAGCCAGTTATATCAAAAGGGAATCAGAAGACGCGATTAGACTATGCGAAAGAATATTTGAAGAAGCCAATTGATTTTTGGAACAATGTAATATTTTCGGATTAAAGCAAAATCAAAATTTTCCAATCTGATGGCGGGCAACGCGTTTGGAGAAACCCGAATACTGAGCTGCAAAAAAATAACCTTGTATCGACGTGAAACATGGTGGTGGAGGCGTTGTTGTGTGGGGCTGCATGTCCGCTTCAGGGGTCAACGAACTGGAGTTTATAGAAGGCATCATGGACAAAAAATATTATTTAGATATTTTAAAAAGAAATTAAAAAAAAAGTGCCGAAAAGTTGAACTTGCCACCATCATTCTCATTTCAGCATGATAATGACCCAAAGCATACGGCTTATGATGTGCGTATGTAGGTCGCACATAACGTCCAACATACTCTGCCGCATCCTCCTCAATCCCATTGAAGATTTGTGCGAAGGAGCTGGACAGGTGCGTTAAAAAACGCGCGATAAAAACAAATTCCAGGCTGAAGGTGGCTCTAATAGAAAAGGTGCAGAATATTGGGGCAGAAACAACCCAAAATTTCGTTTCTTCGATGCCAAGACGGTTGGAAGCCTTTATAAAACAAAATGGCTTACCCACAAAGTATTAATTTTAGTTATTTTCATTTATTTTTAAGTTTTTCAATAAGTGTGCCAAAAATTTTGTTCAGGCAAATTCACCTCTTATTTATGTTATTTAATTTTTAAAAATCAACCATTGAAGGTAAAAAGTTGAAATAAACTTTGTCGTGTTATGTTTTTATAACATTATATGTATAAATTTTGGTTTATTTAAATATCTCAATTTTAAGGGGAGAAATCGTGCCCTAAAGTTCATGAAGCCTTCTGTGCCAAAAATTTAGTTCGGCACTGTACATGAATATAATAATACGGGATTCTTTCTTGAACATTCACAATCTACAATAATTCGTAAAACACTAGAGAAGCTTTTAGAATAAGATTATAAAAAATGCGTTTTGAGTTCGCAAAAGAGCATGTAAGCTAGGCGGAATCATTTTGGGAAAACGTTATATTTAATGAGGAATCAAAAATTAAAAATTTTGGACACTGCGGTGCGGTCCTTTTAAAGCATATCGTAAGGCAAATTATGCAATGAAGGAAAATGACTTGATCCCAACTGTTAAGCACAGTGAAATGAATTTGATGGTTTAGGGGTGTGTAGCTGCAGGTGGAGTGGATAATTAATAAAAATTATGTTTAAAGAATTTTACGCCAAAATGTTGTTCCAAGTGCTTTTAAACTTGGACTAAATCCAGCGTAGTTCGTATTTCAATAAGATACCAACCCGAAATATTTGTCGTATTTAGTGCAAGGGTGGCATTTAAATCACTGCAAGAAACTTATGCCGCCTCTGAAATTACCAGATTGAATCCCATAGAACATTTATAGGATATCCTCCAGAAAAGGACAACATATCCTCGAAGAAATCCTTAAAAACCGCATTAATAGCTGAATGGGATTCAATGGATGCTGACGATCAACTTTATAAAATTCTGTAATGTCTCGTAAAATATATACATTTTGAGCACATATTTCAAACTTAAAACTAATAAGTTTTAACTTAAATACTATATAATTTCATTATTCACACAGAAAAGCTATTTTTACGCACAAAAATTATTACTATACTTCATAAAATAATGAAGAAAACAACAATTCCAAAGATCTTCGTTGGCCTTAATGAAAGCTTGTAAACGTCGACATTCTTATTATTCAGTTGCCCCTCTCCTCAGCGTCAATTAAATCTCACTCAGCTATAAATGCTGATTTTAAGGATTCCTTTGAGCATATGTTGTCCTTTTCTGAAGCATATCCCATATAAAAGGTGTTTTTTCTAGAGGTGTGTGGCATTACTGTTCAAGATGGCGACCGATTTTACAGATGTCAAGTGCTTTATTCTCAATTTGGTTTGACAATTCATCATAACAACGCTTGCAAATAGTGCAATTTTATTTCGAAAATAATGGTTCTATGCGGAATACGTTTTGAGCAATCGTCGACAAAATTGAGGAAGATTGACGAATTGTAAGTACACATATCACTTAATTAAATGGCGACGCTTTTTAAAACTTTTTGCAATCCGGCATCTTCGTTCGAATCTGAAAGAGTTTTCAGTAAAGCTGGACATCTTATAAGTGAACGTCGTACGCGCCTATCATCGACCGTTGTCTATAAGCTCCTCTTTTTAAACAAAAACAAACATGTAAATAATATGCAGATATACATATATAGTAGAGTTCGGGAAAGTAATTATAGTAGGGACATCACAATATCCATAAGAACTATTATTTTCTTTGGACCATGTATATATTGAAACATTGATATAATTTTTTTTTTTTGTTTTTATTTACAAACGAAGAATAGACAATATACCAAAGAAGTGGAACATGAATATCATGAAAAGTTTTATTTTAATTTGCTTTTCTTTTCGTTTTTATTTAATAAGTGAATAATAAATTGGATATTTTTTGTTGAAAATTTGACTTTTAATTTTAAACATTACAAAATAAAATAAAGTTCAAATACATTAAAATAACTGCACATTTTTTATTTAAATCATCGATGTTTTCGCCAAAAATATCGAAAAAATCGATGTCCGTGAACATCGATGTTTCTCCACCTCTAATCTGGTGGAATCATTGATCCGTATTTCTTGTTACTTCCGTTACATTCATCGACAATTGTACGTCCAGACTGGACTACATCCGAGCCAGCTGTGGCGGTCATATGCCAGAAATCATATTTAAAATGTAATGCCACAAGATTATCTTTCGAAAAAAAAATCAATCAAATAATCCATCGTTGTTTGAGAAAATATAAAGAACACCTTTTATATTCTATCGGATTAAAATCTGGTGATTGTAGTGATATAAAAGCCACCCTTGCACTAAATTAGACAAATATTTCGGGTCCTTATCATATAAAACAAGAGGAAACGCTATAGTCAAGTGCCGCGACTATAAGATACCCGTTAATGTTTTACACAATTTTAAAATATTCATTTTGCTAGTGGAAATTACCCAAGCGCCACCTATTGTCGGAGAAAGCATGTCGGTTAACTGATAGTGACGTCACTGCCCATGTGAGGCATTATAACTTCACTTTCTTCATAAGTAGCGAAATAATGTTCCGATTTGAAAAATCTTTGGCGAATCGATAGATATTAACAGAAATAAATTAAACAACGTTAACCGAAGGCATTCATAATATTATTATAGACGCCACAGTGTTCCGCGGTTTCTAGGCGTTAGCCGAATAAATACTCGTGGGAATTTGCAGTGGTAACCCTAAAATAAGTATTTTTAAACCTAGCTTTCTAGCTCTATTAGTTCCCGAGATTTTTGCATTTTTGGTTTTTCAGGTTTTGTGGGCGTGGCTAGATTGAAAAATCCAATTCGCATTTGGGGCATCATACAAATCTACATGCTTAATCCGAACTTTCTATCTTTTATAGTTACCGAGATATCAGGTTTTCTTGAAATTCTTGAAAACCGTCTTTTAAGCTTGGTGGGCGTATGGGTGGGTGTGGCCAGATAGTACCACCAAACGATGCGCTGGCATCCAAAGTTTATACATACTGAAGTTCAACTTTCTAGCTCAAATAGTTCCCGAGATTTTAGCGATTTTAGTTTTTTGCGATTTGTGGGCATTAGAGTGGGCGTGGCAGGATGTTGTAATAAATTTGCGCTGCGTAGAGTCCTCAAGAATCTTCATGGTTAATCTTATTTTTATATCTCTTATAGTTCCTGAGATCTCAGCGTTCATACGGACGGATGGACGGACGGACAGACGAACAAGGCTCAATTTATTTCGCTTTTGATCCTGATCAAGAGTATATATACTTTATAGGGTCGGAAACGCTTCCTTCTACCTGTTACATACTTTTCAACGAATCTAGTATACCCTTTTACTCTACGAGTAACGGGTATAATTACGAACGACGCCGGATTCAGCCCAAGTTTAAGAG